AAAAAAGTTAATTTGCAGATTAAAAGATATATAAAAGACTCGTTGTCTATTGGAAAATTATCACAAATCAAGCGTTCATTTAAGTTAACAGCTGAAGCTAAAAAGGAGATTGCTATGGAGAAAACTAGAAAGTTGAAGATGCAAAAAAAGCAAGAAAAAATTGCCGAAACTAAAGCTAAAGGAAAAGCTAATGCCAATGCAAAGAAGAAAGATAACGAGACAGCAAAAAATAATAAAAAAACTACTGCAGAGAAGACAACAACAGCAGAAAAGAATGCAAAAATTTCTAAGGTAATTCCATTGAAATGTTAAGACTTTAATAGAATGGAAGATATCTTCACGAAATTGATTTAATTTGGTTTAGGATCCCGTACTATTTTAAATTTTTTATCTTTCAATATTAATTTAATTTTATACAATTATTTTGTCTTTATAACAACTAAACATTATGTATGGTCATTTATATTTATTTGCTACTAGATGGCGTGATTGTTACTTATTTGTGTAATCCCATCGAAAACCATAACTTTTTAGCACTGCTGAAAAACATATACAGTAATCCCCTCTATGAAGCGGTAGATTGATTCCGCGTTATGAGAAAATGCGTTATAGGGGTATTCCAGTATACTCCGTATACATACGTGGAAAAGTACATGAAGCTAATTATGAACTGTACAAATAATCGCGTTATATGGGAGAATGCCTGTGTTATATGGGGGATTGAAATCGAGTAATATAAAAACGCATTATAAGGGTAACGCGTTATAGGGAGGATTACTGTACTCCTATGTATAGGTAGTCGATTAAGGATGCAAAAGTATGAAATCCAATTCATAATCGTATATATAAAGGCTAATAAAAGGAGGCTTCTATATAATTGAAAACTTATGAAATTCTTTTATTAAAAGAAAAAATTTAAAGCACTTAAAGCACTTTAAATACAAAAATATTTATTAAATTTGCGAAAAATTTAAAAAATTGCCAATGGTGTATGTAAGATAAAGTCGCCGTGGAAACCACTTTGCGATCTTCTATAAGTGTCACCTAGAGCATAAAAGAACCCCTTGTTCATTCTGTTCATTCCTCGAACCGACACCGTTTAGCATAAAGGAAGAAAGTCAAATAGAATAGTTGAAGATTGTGATTGATGTCGCAAAGCATTTTCCATTATTATTGCTAAATTTTATGCTTTAGAAAAGTGTTGTATTCTAATTTCCGTCTGGTAAAAATCTCCTATGTTTTTAGAGCTTCGTCTGCTTTTTAGTGAAGTTTCATCACTAATATCATTTTTTTGTGATCACTGCAAAATGATTTTAAGCTCAATAAGATATATCAAGATTTTCGTAAATTTCAGTGAAATCTTAAATAAGGCTAATAATTAACTTATAATAATAGTTAATTATGTGTAGATATGATGAGCATAAGATTGGGGTTTTCTGATTTGACTTGACTTTGATTTCATTCATTCTTTTTCATGCATTGGGGAAGCATGTCTTTCTAAATAGTAAAGCACAAGTTGAGTACTATTTAGATGTTTAAAAAGTTGACTAGTGTAACTCTGATATAGATCAAAGGATACGTTGACCTCTCATTGATTTTGGTTTTTGTCAAATAATGAGTTATAGCGTAATGCATAATGAAAATTATATAGTGCAGAAGAATATGCCTAAGAAGATGCGGCCATATACCCTCTATGAAAAATAGAAACTAAAAAGCAAAGTACATAACGATGGATCCAAAATTATAGAAGTTTATAACTGAAGTCTGTTTTACTTGAAGAGCATATGAGCATATACGCAATATATATATATATATATATATATATATATATATACGCAATATATCTGCTTCATCAGTTTTCTTTTTGGTATGCTTACTTTTTGAGATTAACAAAAGAATATTTGGAGCCATCTCTCCAATGGAGTTGATAGTTAAAACTTTCACTCTGCTTCTAGCTGGATCTGGGAAGCTGCATAAGAAATGTTGCACTGTTGGCCTTTCTTTATCATCTCCACAACTTTAACAGTATTTATATAAAACATTTCTCAACCTAAAAGAGTGTCAGTCACGACCTCAGAGATTCAAATGCTGAGTAGATTCCTTGATTTTTTCCTCGCAAGTCATATCTTACAGATTTTTTCTCCTGAGGGACTATATAGATTGTGTAATTTTGTATCACAAGCCATGACTTTAGAGCACTTTTTTCTAGGTAGGCTGAATAGATGACTTTATGTTTTATTATCAATTGTTTCTTATATAGGTATAGGTATAGCTGGTAAAAATTGCACTATATGACATTTTCTATTCAATATATTTATATGATCAGCTCTTTTTAAAGCTTACTTATTTACTTTTTTAGTTATGGTATCTTATATCATATTGTACATCAAATGATATAGTTCAGCCGGTCTTGGAACCTTATTTATATTTTCTATATTTTTTGTATTATCTATATTGTTTATATTATCTATGTTATTTATATATTCTAAGTTTACGCATGTATTATACTATATCTTTTAAAATATATTATGTTCACATATAACGTATATTGTTATATATAGTTATTTCTACTAAGTATTTCTTAAAATAATTAATATCATATTAATTTCGTTATATTGCATATAAATTAAGAAAACCACAACTAAGAAAGCTGCTACGGATGTAAAGGTATCAAAACCCACTGGTGCAGGAAAGGCCACAGTAAAGAAGACAGTAACTAAATCCAAGAAACCCAAACTAAAAATCACAAATACTAAGGCTCCGATAGAAAACGGTGGTCAACCTAGTGGCGGCAATGCAAAGAAGAAGACGGAGAAAACTGAGAAACCTATAAAATCTGTTCCCACTGCAAAGGTCGCAAAGGTCCCAAAAGTCTCAAAAGTCCCAAAGGGTGCACAAGTCGCTGAGCCAGAGAAACCTAAAGCAAAAGCTAAAGCAAGTAAATAACAAAACAAGAATTCTTTTTATTTATTTGTTTATATCAAGTCTTTTTCTTATTAAATATATATGATATTTTTTTAATAAAAATTGTAAACTTTAAGCTTCAATGAGTTGGTGGCTTAAGAGAGAATGAAAATTGTTTAAAATAAAAATAAAATAATAATAAAAAGAAATTGTTTTTAAATGCGCCTCAGGGGCTACTTTGTCTTAAGCAATCCATGTACACATACCTACAGGATTGTAGCGAATGTTTGGTTTGGCCTATTTCCATATTTTTGCCATTTGACCTTTTCGCACATTTGAGGGTGTGAATCCTCAAACACAAAAGGGTTTCCTGGTTTGAGAAGAAAAGATGATTTCATGTAATCAGCATAAGTTTTTATACTCGTATCTGCCGTGGATATTCTTAATTTTGCCAATATTGTAAACCTTCAATTTCGCATTATTTGTGTTATCAATAAATTCGGTATATTATTAAAGGATCTGCTCTTCTGTAACATACTCGTATCCATTCAGTAAGGCAGTAAAGCCTTAATAATAAAATTTGTTTTATTTTATGTTATATTTTAATTTTATTAAAAATGCTCAGGCAATAAATTAATCAAATTTCATTGTAAATAACAATTTGTTGAAATTAACATTTATGCTTATTTATTAGTGTTTTCTGCATTCTCTTCCAATTGAATTAAGCAGATGATATATTCATTAATATATCTATATTGGTAAATATGCCAGTTTTAGTTAATGCGAGTATGAAGTAGAGAAGAAAGATGAGTAATATTGAACTACAACCGACATAATGAATGACATAAAAGCACCTCCAACCGGTATTCAGAAATTAAAATCTCAATACTAAGAAAAGGAAACTGATATATAACCAAATAATTTGTTCGTCACTTCTATATAGATGTGTAGCGTTTAACTGAGCTTTAAACATTACTATTCGTCAGCTAGGAATTGCACAAAACCAGGCTCTGAGAAGACTTTTCAAAGTACCATGGTACATTGAGACAAATGACATCCTCAGGGACCTCAAGATTGATCCGTTCAAAAAATACATAAAGAATAGAACCCTGAGTGTTTGAATGTAAGCTTCAAAAATGCGTGTTTGAAGCTTACATTTCATTATGTTGAGTGTTTGTTAAGATTGGAAAGACTTCGTCTATCACGGGCTGCAATAAATTGCTTCAATGGATTATTGGGTCATTATATGTGATTTGATCAAATGGAACGCATAGGTTAAGGAAGATCCTGTTCATCAAACACTATGACGTTAAAAGATATTAGTTAGTAGTTACATTATAATTATAAAATATTATAATATAAAATATTATAATATAAAATATTATAATATAATATATGTGTAATATAATATATGTTTTAATATTATAACATTGGGGTTGTATAGTTTTTTTTTAAGAGTAAGCTCTTGTATGGTTCATAGTAGGTAACTTGCTTTAAAAACGACTACAGGAATATGGTGCATAATAAAAAAAATTGATCAAGATAATAAGGTAAGGATGTATGAAAACTTAAAAGTCTTTCCGAAAAATTAAATGAACATTAAATGAACATTAAAAACAAAAGTGTATTGGGTATCAAAATAAAAAAATAGTCAAAATAATATATATAAAAGTATATTAAAAAATAATTTTTTAAATAAATCAGATGCGAACTAAAGATTTTGGTTTATTTTTTTTAACATCTTGTATCTCGGAAGATATTGAAAATGAACCTCCCTCTTCCCCCACAGTTTTTCTAGTTTCTTTGTCAAGGTATCACCTCTCGCTTTTATGGTACTTTGTCAGGAAACTGTTTGTATATAATATATGTGATTTTATCAATTATCTACCAAAATATTTTATTTTTTGGAGCTTTTTCAAGGAAACACAATATATACATTTTAATTTATATTGTCAAAATATTTTATTTCGTGGTGCTTTGTAAGGAAACACCTGTGTATATTATAAATGATGTTAACAATTATTTAAAAAATATTTATATTTTATTATAATAAATTTAAAAAAAATTAATACACAATCATGTCGATAGCAGGGAATTAACAGGAGGCAGCATCCTAGCAACATGAAAATATTAATTTAACATAAAAATAACATTTCCCAAATAACCACCAACACATATTTTAAGTGGGACACACCAAAACGACCTTGAATATGACAGTAACAGTGCAGCGGATATGTTAAGTTTTTATAAGAAAACATTTGTTTAATAAAAGCTTAGTTAGTAGAGAAAATTAAAAATTATGTATGTATTTGCTTAGATATTTTTGTTTAAATTCTATTTTGTGTTTATTAAATGAAATAATTTACTAAATAAAGGATAATAAAAAAATTATAAATATGAATAAAATTCCCTATGGCACTGTTCTTTAAGAGCAAAATTTTATTAACATTCGTAAGAGAGTTATTAACATTTCACTGTAAAGCTTTCAGTTGTTAGTAACATAAAAGCTTTTATATGGGAAAGCACAGTGTAATAAGCAACAACTCATATATAAAATATATAAATTAATATGTAATTGTATTTGT